TATAATTGATGTCGTGGTTTAAATAGCATTGGTAAAAACATTTTATTTGTGTCTTAATAAACATGGTCTTCATCCAGTTTTTAATAAAAATTTAATTTTAAAAAAAATTATTTTGTAATTAATTTTGAATTTTTTATTTTTTTGTACCCTCACGTATTTAATATTTGGATTTAATAATCAATTTATCAAAGTCATAAGAACTTGGTCTAAATTTTAAAAATACCAAAAACAATTATTTTGTTAGTTTTAATATCAAGAATTACAAACTTATATGTAAGATGTATTTTCAATGTTAAAAGAAAAATAATATTTTTTTCACTCTAGAATAACCAATTTTAACTAAATAAGATAATGATCTTTTTATCGATAATAACTTTTTTTAAATTTTAGATATATTAATAGTTAAAAAATAAAACAATATCTTGATTTATTTTATACAAATAAACAATAAACAATCCAATGCAATGTATATTAAATAATATATAATAAGAGAGATATTTTTTTTATATACATAGTCAGTCCTTTTGTATAGATCTTAAGATTAGTTATAATTTTTAATTACTAAAATACTAGGTAATAATTATTTTTTTTCGCTTAATATCAAACAAGAATTTCTAATTTTTTTTCTATTACTATAAAAATCCTAACTTGAGAAAATGATTATCACACACGTGTGATATTGATTATTCTTACTCATTCATTTATTTGTGTTATATTTTTTTACCCAACCCGCAAGGCCTTGTAAATTGATTAGTTATATTTGAGAAATACTAATACATGGTATTTAATTACTGTCTCATAATAAAAAAAATAAAAAAACAAATGAAACATATTTCATTATATTTTCTTGTTTAATAATATAAAAATTCACAGGAAAAATATTTTAAAAATAAATTAATATTTTATTTTTCTATTTATATTTTTTAACTAAAAAACTTTCTATATTTTCTATATTTATTGTTGTATTTTAAAATACAAACCAAAACGCAACTTAGAAAAGATTAAATACCCCCTCATTATTGGAAAAACTGATGATAACAAAGTACTGGATACAAACACGTGGAAGACTCTGACGTGCTTATTAGGTGACACGTTATGTAAAGTTGGTGCTTAATTACTCAGTCTAAACAGTTGGCTGAAAATTATTTATATATATATATATTTTAATTGTTTTCAATTATTAACATTAAAAATAAATTTTTA